GCCAAACCAAAATGCTGTCAAATAGTGTCATTTGTGATGTAATCAAGAAGGGAGATGCCCGATATCCAATGGAGCATTCACATTTCCATGGCATGGAGATAGCTTTCGGTCCCTGTTGTTGCTGTCCAGCATTCAGTGCCTGTTGTAAATACATACCAGTTACCAAGTGCCTAAATATTGAACAAGTGACTCTGGGGATGCTGTGATAGTGGTAAGTGTGAGGAGCAGTTGTAAGTCATTTCCTCAGGATCAATCCAACACATAGTGTCAGGGTGTAAGATGCAGGCAAAAATGGCATACACTGAACAGCACAACCCAGTAGCTGGCATTGTATACAGGAACATCTGCATAGTGTATGGGCCAGAGATGGGATTCAAAATTTTTTACTACCGCTTCTGTGGGCATGGCTTGGTGGGTGTGGCGTGGCTTGGTGCGCATGGCAGAAGAAGGATATTGTAAAATCTCCATTCCCACCCACTCCAGGGGAAAATCCCCATTTCCTCCCGATCAGCTGGGACTTGGGAGGCAGAGAATAGATGGGGGTGGGGCCAGTCAGAGGTGGTATTTACTGGTTCTCCGAACTACTCAAAATTTCCGCTACCGGTTCTCCAGAACTGGTCAGAACCTGCTGAATACCACCTCTGGTATGGGCTAGACCCTTGCAAGTCCAGAGGGAAGATCTCACAGAAGGTTGTGGAGAATATAACAGGGCTAAAATCCTGTGGGACTTCCAGATCCAGACAAGTAGGCAAGTATTGGTCAATCAACCAAACACCATGGAAGTAGTTGAGAACCAGAAAACAGAAGTGGAATATATATAGTAATGCCAAGTGACAGGAACATCAGGAAGAAGGAATGTAAGAATCTGTAGAAGTACGATGCCTGAAATAGAAAATAAAAAGAATGTGGAAAATAAAGGCCAAAGTGGTCCCAATGGTAGTAGAAGCACTCAGGGCTGTGACTCTTAAACTTGCCTTGAACAGATCCCAAGAACAACATCAGAGCTCTCTATACAGAAGAGGGCAGTGCTAGGAACAGCTAAGATGTTCCAACTTTCAGGCCTCTGGTAGAGAACCCGCCATTGAGGAAGACACATACTACCCATAGGGGTGAGAAGGGAATTTTATATATAAACTAAGCTTGCTACATATACTAGAAATAAGCACCTTTTGAATCCCTGAAAGCACTTTAACAATAAACATCACTGTAATCTTGAGAAGGACAATATGCATGTGAGTGTGTCTTGAGATTTTCTGTCCCTCTTCCCATATTTCACCCACAGGTTCTTCCTCCTTTTCCTGAACTAGCATTTACTTGTGATTCTCTATCAAGATAAGCAAGACATTGACAAATTTAAGATGGCCAGATCTGGAGGAAGATGGGGAACCTGTTGATCAATAATTCTGTAGAAGGAGGCAATGCCATAAAAAGGACAGTCTGCTTTTTCACTGGATGAAGAATTCATCCATTTCTCCTTATACAGTACACAACTCCAAAGGGACCTCTTGTAACCTACCATATTTTCTTTGCCTAAGACTGAGAACCACAATGCAATATGGCCACAGATCTACCAAACTCTCTGTCCCAGTCTGTTTTTAAGGAATATGATTTTCATTTTAATCAAAATGAACCTAATAGACTGTGTTAGTTTTGTTTTGTTTTTCAAAGAAAATCATAGTTATCTTCAAAGGCCCTTTGGGATAATAATTGTTAGGATAATAAAAAGAATGGGTGGCTTTATGTCAGTGTTTCATTTGGACTATATTCATTTTCTCAAAAGCAAAAAATTAGATAGAGTGTTAAAGAGAACCTGGGTTTAAAAAAATTTCAGAAGAACAATTTAATTCTGTGTGATAAAGAGACATCTTGCAACTTGCCACGCCATCCATGACATGCTTTCAAAATAATAACTGTGCCTTCTGGTCTAAAACTGATTGGAGACCTCTGCCCTTTAAGGATGTAAGATGCTACCTTAAAACAGGGTAGTTTTCCCCAAAATAAGACATTTCCTGATAATAAGCCCAATCAGGCTTTTGAGCGCATGCACTAAAATAACCCCCCCCCCCAAAAAAATAAGCCCTCCCTGAAAATATGTAAATGCATGTGCAGCCGGTCCCCGCCATTTCCTCTGGTTTCCTCCATGCGCCCCATAATAATAAGATCTCCCCGAAAATAAGGCCAAGCACTTATTTCGGGGTTCAAAAAATATAAGACAGGGTCTTATTTTCGGGGAAACACAGTAGTTATGCATAAATTAGGGTAATTAGATATGGGTTGCAGAAACCTAAATGAACATTAGATGTTAGTAAAGTGTTATATGCTGCCCTCTAGGGTCTGACCATGTTTCTGCAACACAGCTCTGACTGTCCTAATTTATTTACCTAGAGCCCACCACTCCAAAAGGGGGTGGGTGGGAACTGGTAAACTCTGCCTCATCCTTCCAGATGGCTGCAGTGGAAAGTTATGTGTAGCTGTTGTTATAAGGAAGCATCCAAGCCACATATCAATATTTTATGTAAAACCTTCTGAAGATCAAATGATATCATTTCAGTGGTTATGCAACCAGTGACTTTCCTTATGTCACTAACCACAGTGGCATATTGCAAGAACAGCTGGAAGAGAGGAGATGTTCTCACTAACGCAGAGAGGGTCTTCCTGCTTACTCTCTTCGAAGGAAAAGAGGTTAAAGTGCTACTAGTTCTGTTCGCTCCAGTCTTCTTTTTTCTGAATTAAAGGATTAAAACATCAAAAAGATAAAATTATGGGAAATGTGTGTACCGATGATTCTTGTTTTTAATAAAAATAGAAGACAAAAATAGACCATCTTTAGGAGAATCAGTTGAAAATGTGTACATTAGGCTTAATGGGATATAAAAAATGCTTATTAGGCGAAATACTCATTAGTAGATTATAGCTGTTTAGACCTTTAAAGAAAAGGTCTCAAGGTTGACAAACACTAAAATTGGCAAATTTCACTATTACATACCAAACATTTTTTTTTAGTTTTGTTGACTGCTAAAACAGCATTCCCTCCCTCTTAACAAACTGAAAAATTTCACACTCTTTTGTGCTAATTATTCCTAATAAAGATAACACCCCCACTATGATTTTGAAAGGGGGGAAAGTCTCTTCCCCCGTTTCAGTGGACCAATATGACCAATGATTGTTTTTTATGTATTTTTTTTAAGTGCATACCCTCCTCTTTCTTTTTCTATAAAGCATTTGCCATAGGTGAAACACTCACATAGATTCTAGCCATCAGATCATATATTTTTTTTCCAGTATTTTATTTTTATTTTTTAAGACAAACAAACATTTAGTACATCATTCATTTCTTTAATGTGACATTTCGGTGTTATCTTCAAAAGTTTCTTCTCTCCTCTTCTGTCTTCAATCTCACCAAATCCATTACAAAGATTTTCCATTAATATATTATTCTAATTACAACCAATTTTTTTTTCAATCTCTTTTAAAAACTTATTTGTATCTCTTTTCTAACCAATAGTAAAATTTATTCCATATCTTAAAATATTCTGTATCTTCTCTTTCCTTTATCATCATAGTTAATCTATTCATTTCTGCACAATCTAAGATTTTTTTAATTACTTCTCCCTCCGAAGGTATATTCTCTGCTTTCCACTTTTGTGCATAAACAATCCTTGCTGCTGTTATTACCTCTGCTGTTATTATTATATAGATCATATATTTTTTTCTGCCCTAAAATTGTACCTAGCCTATTTGATGAAATTATTTCAGAAGTTTCCTGGAACAGATTTCCATTTGACCAATTAACATCATTTTCTAGGATAAAATCATGCCCTTCAATTACGACAGTCACAGTGTATGAACAGGCTCATCTCCACTTTATGTAACATGGGCTTTTCAAGTGTTCCTTCATCTGCCATTTCTTAGAAAGAGCTGTTACATGACAGACACATAATAGGGTGTCCATGTTTCTGAAAATAAGAACTACTACTTGTTCTTCAAATATACAAAATATTTCTGCGAATGTGTATAGGAGTGGAGTGGAACAGAGCTCTGTTCTGTAACTTTTTCAGAGAAAGCTAGCAGAAGTAATTTTTTCAGAGATAAACTAGCAAAAGCTAGATGCTTTTATGTGATGTCATTTTTCATATTTTTACTGAAGTTTTAACAAGTACAATTATTTCTATGAGCTGGGACTCCTCATTAGAGAACTTTGCTTTTCCGATATCTTCCTCTCTAAATCTCTTATAAACTGAAACTCAATTTGACCAAGATATGAGCAAAGCTAATAATGAATTCTCTACAGCATGTTCTTTCCTAATCATCACATTATCTCTTCTTGGCAGAACATGTAATAATCCAGAGCTCTAATAAAAAAAAACCTCCATTGCTCCAGAGCAGTTAGAATAGGAAATGACAGCATATCAGATATAAAGAGAAGGCATAGAAATTCTCATGATACTTTACATACAACTCTACTATATGTAGCTGAGAATGGTATGCCAGTGCATGTGTTTGTGTGGGGCTATTGGTGGGGGTGGAAGTGGGGGGGTTATGGGGTTGTAATATAGTTATAATCTCACTCACTTATTCACTCTTCAATATAGGAAGAGCCAGGACAAAATTAAATTGGACTTTCTTTCATTTACATTTCATTATATTACATGCAAATCTATATGATTGCATCTTTTTCATTAAAATTTTAATTTTTGTAACAATGTTCAGAGCTGCTCCAGGGACTATACATTTTTGAAGGCTGTGTGTAGCCAAAGGGTTTCTACCTTATCAGATTCAAATTGTCAGAGTTTGGCCATTTTCTGCGTGAAAGAACGACATTTAAGGAATTTGGTAGATCATTACACTACCAAATTTGGAAGCACCCTATGCAAAGATCTCTTGATTAATACAGCTGAATGAAACAGAAGAAGACAAAGAGGAAGTGTGTTTGTTAGAGTGAAGAGCCTTTTGCACTGACAGTACAATTCACGAATACAACAGCACCATTCACCATGTAGTAAAATGAACAAATTGTATTAATCTGTCAATTGCAGGCTATGTTAGCTTGCAAGGGGACTTGGCCCAAGCTGCTCATTACCTAACTAACCATCCTGTTAGCCTATGGAGACACATGTGAGAAACTATCTTAAGGATGGAGTGATGGAATGATAGAGGCAAGCAACTGCTTCAGCTTCTTCCATTAGTTGCCCATAGCTGCATCTGTCTGCAAGACTTCTTCAGGAACTATCACTGTTCTGTGGTCCAATTCAGCTGCAGTACTTTTAAACATGCCCTGCATGAAAAGAAAAATAAGAAAGAATCCCTACCATATAATTTTTTAAATTATTTATTTAAGGTATATGACAGGATATGACTAATCATGCGAGGGAGTGGTTCTGGGAGTTGTAGTCCTATACATTTGAAGACCATCAACTAGGGAAAGCTGCTACAAGAGAAGCAAAATATTGAGATCCCAAAGAATGCTTGATTTCGGATGATCTATGGCAATTTTTTTCATGCAGTTTTCTTGACAATAACATGGAAGTGGTTTGAATTGTTCTCCATAGTTCCTCCTTCAGGCTTCATTGTTCCAGTGCAATTCTTTATATAAATACCTTAGATTAAATACTCTAAGGTATTTAAACTAGATTTTATCTAATTCTTTTTTAAAAAATTTTTTTATGATTTATCTCTTAGAATATGTAAATTAAATATTTCCTATTTTTAAAAAAACCCTTTAATGCATATATATTTATATTGCTAAGAATGGCAAAATTCAAAGAAATATTTAATCCACTGAACAGTTATGTTGCCAGGAGGTGCCGATCAAAACATTTCATATAGGGATACACAAAATTTGAATTAACTAAACATTTCTACTTCCCATAACACCCCTAATAAAGCTTCCAAGTCCCCTGTTTTTATGTTACTGTACTTTGTTTTGATACACAGTATTTTTATTAATAAGTAAAGCATCATGAGCTACAAACAGGGTATTCAGTACCACAGACTTTAAGAAGTGTTGAATTGGATTGTTCTTGCATTATGTCAACGATCAAGAACAGGAAGAGAATAATTGTTGCTTTTCTGAAAATGGAAAGTACCAAGACTATTTTAGAAAGGAAATTCTAAGTTATAAGACTTTGTTCAAAAAAAAGAAGAAGAAATTTGAGAGTAAAGAAAACCTAATCATATAAGGTTATTTCCATATTGGTGTCCCATATCTCTACCTGTTGATAGCTTTGGACAAATAAATGGTCATTTCCCTTTCCTCCATATTTATGGTTTCTTTTTTTCTTTTTCTTTTTTAGTTATTAAGTTCATTACACCCTGTTATGAAATAAATTAAATTTGGCTTTTTGCATAAAAAGCCTGCATAACATTCTCACTTATTTCTGGCTGCAGCTTAGAAGAAAGCTTTGAAATCAGAAGACATCAAATGTTTTATAAATTTTCTCAGTCTCTTTGCACAGAATTATACTTTTTGAAATGATAGGTTGGATGGTGCTGGAAAGATCTATTATCACATCACAAAAGATCTATTATCACATCACAAAACAAAAATGTCCTTGTGACTGACTGAACTCTGGATTCTGGACTGCCTTATGCAATTCAGGTTATGTAAACCAAACTCCACAGAAATCTAAGTGGATTTCTGGTTGAGCTGTATACTTATGGGGTCTCCTCAAAAGCGTAATATACAGGCTGTACCAAAAGTCAAGCCTTATATACAATTTATTTTGTAAATTACATTAAAAGTTTGAGTCGGTTGCCCTTTTCTCCTAAATACTTCCTTACTCTTTAAACCTTTAAACATTCCTAAGTACAGTAACATTTTCTGGACTACTAAAAAATATTGTGATTGGCCTGACTTTTGGTACACCCACTATTAGACTCTTCCTCTCACTCCTGACTCTTTTTTCCCTCAAGGAATCACCTAGAAACTTCAAAGTGCCTGAAGAATGTTGGCAAAATTATGACATGTAGTGACATTTCCATAGCAAAATGTCTCATTGGTGCCAGAGATAATTTCCCACTTCATTTAAACAAAGCTTTTTAGAAGTTCATGGGCACAGTTTGATTAGGCTTTTGGTCATGTAACTTCCCACATGTGGGAAGTAATTCTCATGTTGACTGGGGCATTTCCAAGAGCATCGTTAATGTACTTAAGAAGGCGAAGGGTCCCCCTGCAGTAGCTAATTTTATCTTCTGAAATTGCAATTGCAGATTTCTACCCATTCGCTTTGCCAACATTACTTTCCAGTGGCGCGTTCCCCCGTCCTCCCTAATTTTGTCATCTATAATCTTCTTGAACCACACAGCTGCCTCTTTAAAGTGATGGCAGCTTTGCATGCTCCATTTCAATCATTCTGCTTCATTTCTCAGCAACCTCTCTACTCCAACCACTTTGCATTTTTGCTTTCTCCCCATTGACACGCTGCTTAGAGCTTCTTCCTCAATGGTCAAATGTGTACATATGGTCAAAGAGTACCCCTTTGTGGCCTTTTTAGGCTGAGCATCCCATTTCAGAAATTATTATCTCCCAATCTCTCCGCCATTTGCAGTTTCAGACATGAGTGTCCATCCCCCTCCGCAGAGTGATTAACTAATAGATTAAAAAAACATGCAGAAAGTGATATACTGTACAAATAGCAAAAACTATGAGATGGGAATATAAGATTTACAAGCCTATTGAATCAATACTCCAGGCTAGGAGTAGATAATAAGTGTTATGATTCTCTTTTTCCATCCAGCATATAATCTTTGGAGATAAACAAAACAGAAGAAAAGAAATCCTAGCTTACTTTACCAAAAGGTAAAATGCTTCAGATAAGAAGCCAAATGGGCCTTAATTGGTTTGGGAAAGGATCTATATAAGTTTCCCCCCTCAACTACTATTCTGAGAAATTGGCAGGGGAAAGCAGCCCATTTCTGCCTAGTTCTGTTCCTGGGATCTTCCTGAAACTCTGAAGAACAAGCACCAGTAGAAGCAGATAGGCAAAACTGGCTCAGCAACCTAATACACAATAAGATAATCACTTTTCTGATTTGAATTTTAATGTTTTGTGTATGGATGATTTGGGCCCTAGCCAAGATCCTCTTCCTGGAATATTAAATGCACCACACTAAGAAACACTTGCCAGTTCTTGCTTCATCCAGTATCAGAAATACAAATCTAAATCCTTCTGTTTACAAAGTCTAGAATATTTTGGTGTCACATTTATTTATAGGCACATTCTGAATTGAAATCTTTTATTGTTAAATTTATTTATTTATTAAGGAAATGTATCTAGCCTTGCAATTCACACATGGTGACTCTTGATGGCTTAAAAAATAAAATGTTGTGGCCCGCCGGCAGCCAGCAGAACTGACAACAGAGTTGGACAGTGAGGAGGTTGGGGAGGAACTTGGGCCAGTTCTGGGGGCTGCGGAAAGCTCGGATGAGGGCTCTGTGTCGGAGGCAGAGAGGGAGTTAGCAGCGAAGCAGAGGAACAACTCGAGCCTGTTCCCAGTGTGCACATGCACAGAGCTGCCAGAAGATAAGAACAACTCAGAAAACAGTGTCAACTCAGGAGTAAAGCCACACCTTGGAGGTGATTGGCTCCTCCCATAAGAAATAAAAGAGGAGCGAACAGGGAGTGCAGGAAACAATTCATTCATTCCATGACTCTGAGAGACTCTGTGCCAAGTTTTGCCTTGTACTGCGGTTGGAAACAAGTTACATGGCAGCTTGCCAAATGAGATAAGTGTGTTGAGAAATATTCCTTTGAAAAACTGTTTGGACAAACCTTGCTAACTGTGAATGAACGTAATTCAAAGTCGTGTAAATAAAAGAGGTTTTGCTGGGACCAATTCCTGCCTCCTGCTTGTTAGGGGAGCTTAGGTCAGAACATAAAACCCCAATACAAAACCAACAAATTCTCACTCCCCACCCCGGGTGACAACAATCAAACCAACCCCTTGATGTGCTTCATATTTCACCCTGGGGTCCCCAGACCTGCTGAAAAAACTATGTCTTCAGGGCCTGTCAATATAGGAGCAAATCTTATTTCCACAAGGGTGGTGTTCCACAGGGAGGAAGCCACCACCAAGAAGGCTCATCTTCTTGGTCCCACTAAATGGATTTCTTTAAGAGAAGGGACATGTAACATACCCTGCCTCCTCATTCTGTTAGCTGGGTAGATGTAACTGGGATAAGATGGTCCCTTCAAATAACCTGGCTCCTCTTTAAATGTAACAACCAGCACTTTGAATTGGACCCAAAAGCAAATTGCAGTCCTCACAAGAGATGTGAGAGTGCAAATCTAGACTTGTATAAAACACGAGGGATACCTCATTTTAAACCAATTGAGGCTTCTGGACACTTTTCAAGGGCAGCTCCAGGTAGACTGCATTGCATTCTGAAAATTATTTTCAGAATAAAACTTTATGAATTTTCTTGGGGAATCTGATCATGAGATCCTAGGAATATTTTTGTTTGATGGAAAGATACTTTACTTGTTGCTGTTGCTGACAAAACCATCAGTTCTGCCTTTAAACTTCTGAAGCTAAACCAGTGGTGAGTTGCTCCCGGTTCAGCCCGGTTTGGCCGAGCCAGTAGTGGTGACGATATGACGTCACTGAACCGATTCTCTTTGACTGGGAGCTGGACCCTCCCACCTGCCCCCACTCTATTCCTATCTTTATTTCTTGTTTTTTAGCCCAGCTGATAGGTGCAGCGGAGTGGATTACTGCACCTCAGCTGGCCAGAAACCTAATGCGCTTGCGAGCGAAGCGAGCAAGTGCACAGCGATCATGCGCAAAGCATGTGTGCAAAGAGAACTGGCAGTAACAGCGGTTGGAACCCACCACTGAGCTAAACCATGAAAATGCTAAACTCTTGTCTGTAACTATAACAGAATAGATAACACTGTTTTTCAGTATTCTATAACTGATTATATGTCACTGGATGGAGGGATTGATGGATCGATAGACAGATAACATTATGTTATTATGTTATTTTTTGGCAAAAGTGCACCTATATACATAAACATAAACTTTAAAAAATGGCTGTTCCTAATATAATCAATTCAAAAAAAATTTACTTTGAGCAGAAAAATCACTTTCTGAAATTGAAAATTTATACAGGTGCAATCAAATATGCCCCAACCATAGAGAGGAGCAGAGTAATCTTAATAATAATAATAATAATTTTATTTCTATACCGCCCTTCTCCCGAAGGACTCAGGGCGGTGTACAGCCTATTTAAAAACAGAATAGACATCAATTTAAAATAATTTAAAAGTATTAAAT